CCATGCTGCATATTAATATATAGACATGATGCCATTACTATTACACATGTCTTTTATTTTCTGGTATTTACTATTACGGTATTTGCGGTTTTCACGGTTTTACGGTTTTACAGTTTATGTTATTTATGGCAAATAATACGGCACATGCCGTAACCGTATTATTTCTGTTTGGAAATTCCGACGACAAGTATACTTTGGATCTATATTTTTTGACAGCATACTCTGCCAATTTTCCAATAATTCCATTCCTATATAGATCCATGTATCTCCATGATTTCTTGCAAAGTTCCATTAGAATTTCTTTCTTTACTATTTACTAGGTTTCTCATGTGTAATTTTCTTTTAGATGGTCTTGGCATTTTATAAAATGAATAATATTAAAAAAAAATTGGTTATTTTTATTGGTGCGATATAAACTAATGAAATTTATCAGCGATCACTTACTTTTTATGAAAAGAATTTTTAGTCTGAAATTTTGAATGTTAATAAAAATTTTTAACTTTAAAAGTTTATAGCACAAAATTTTTATATCAAAAAAAAAAAAATTGAACCATATACTTTTGTAAGTTAATATATACCTAAGAAACAAAAGTATATTTTTTTTTGATATAAAAATTTTGTGCTATAAACTTTTAAAGTCAGGTGACCATTTTTGACATTTATAGATGACGTACACCATATGATTTGGATGATCTGGATCATAGTAAAATTTTATTATAATCGAATGTCTTCATGCCCTCGCTTGATATCCTTGCTGTGTAGCAACCACCACCAAATTTGAGATATAACTTCTTTATCATATGTATCTGCTTTAAGAAAATTTTAAAGAAGGTTGTTAATGAAACCTGACCCTCAAAGTCAAGTTTTGCCTTTATATTGTTTGACGCGTCCGATTGCAAGTATAAGTAGAAATAAATGTCCAAATATTACATTATTATGAATATTTACAGATTTTTGATCACTTAGGTATGTCTTTTATAGTAAAATCATTTATTTTAAAAGTAAATATAATAAATAAATAGATATTAAAATTTTATCTTTACTATACATAAATAATGATTAGAATAGTAAACAAGCAACAATAATGATTAAATTAAAGGTGTTTTATCCCTGACTTTATTCAATTAATTATTTATTATTAAATATAAGTTAAAATAAAAAGAAATTTGTATACATTAATAAATAATAAATATAATCATTGAATGATTGATAAACGTTTGTTAGTATATTTTGCAAGCTTCATAGACCTTGTTCTTAATGCTTACTTTGAACACTCCTATACAAAATATTGAATAATTGATAAAACATTCGTTAGTATATTTTGCAAGTTTCATAGATCTTGACCTTAACACTTACTTCGATCTCCTACACAAACTGGATCTTAATTTTTATTATCATCCTCAAAAAGCGATGATTTGTTGTCGTTGTTTGCTATTAATATTATTGTTTAATGTTGCTGTAACAACTGCTGATTGATGGATATTCATAATAATTATTAATGAAACTTTAATCAATATAATGTCAGAAATATAAAACAATCACCTTTTAGTTTTTGCTGAATCCCATCTACAAAAATTCTTCATGACTATTAAATTTCTATAAAATAGTTTTTCGTGAACCTCTCTAAAACTTATTAACTAATACCCCCATAAAGTAATAACCATGTGAAAGCTTAAAATATTCTACACCTTCTCATTTACTATCAAGTTTTTTAAAGCGATATTGAGAAATAATTTGAGCTTTGAAGTGAAAAAGTATTACCGTTTTTGAATAGCCGTGAATTCATGTAGAGAAGACCTTTCTATATGAAAGAGTATTCATTAGAAAGCTTTAACGGAGTACTTTTAGTTTTCTATAACAACAACGTTCGAGTTTATTATAAAAATAACGAGATATTTTTAAAAAAAAACTTCATATGACACGAACTTCGAATTTATTTTCACATATAGAAAAGGGAATAATAATAATAATAACGAATTTCTTTGGCTGGAACCATGCTGTGGCGAGGTTTGACGTAATCACTTTGTATTTATGAAATGCATAATAATGAAATTCAACCAGGTGTGTGATTATTTTGTAAGTAACGAGCGATTGAATTTACCAGTTAAAAAATTTCACGTGACTAAATTAACCGGAACATAAGCTACAAGTTGATATAAATTTTTTTGCGTAATTGAGATATTCGGGGTGTCCAAAACTTTTGCCAAGGTACTGTATAAAATTTTTTGGACCTGTTGGATAATTTTTTCGTTTACCCAATGATATATCCAACTGCGATATTTGATCCTCCTCCTTTACTCTTAACTTGAAGATTTAATGAATCAGATTTTTCTTTATTATCAAGAAGTTTATCAAACGCGTTTTTTGTATGTTCCAATACCATCCATCATCAGTATCATTTAAACTAGGCGGTGTAAGCTTTTCTATATCAATATAATCATCATCTTCAGACTTTACATGTTTATTGAAGCTCTCTCAGTTGACATGGTATTCTATAAGCTTTGCAAGTGATTACTTCGTTTCTTTATAACCTCATTACAACAAAGTGGAGAAAATTCCATTTATGCATGTTTGATAATCCGGATACAAATATAATAGTAATAGTAATAGGTATTCATGCAACATCAGTGACACGTTTATTTTTATAGTCGAATATTTGGGATGCTATGACACAATAAAACGATTTAATTCTCTAACATGCCAAATTATTTATTAATATTAATATATTATTATGATAAAAATGATAAATCTTGCAATATATGCAATTTACAACAACATATTTACACCAGTTAAAATACATGTGACTAATAGACCAAGTAATCCTATTGTACCAAATCTACCTCTGCCTCTTTTTACTGGATCACCTGTTTGATAACCTTTTGCATAAGCCACACGACCTAAATAATAGTAATGATATAACACAATGGTATTATTACGAAAATTGCTGTAATTATTTAAAAATAATAATTAATGACGATTATTTAATTACCTATAATCCAAATTAATCCTGCGACAGAAGCGATTTTTGGATATTGTAATCCACTAAAAGTCAATCTAATCATCAGATTAAAAACAAAACAAGTATGTGAATTATTATTATTATTTACTATTCATTTATTAATATTAATTAAAATTAATATTTACTTACAAAAATAAAAACTGTGGGTAAGTTTCAAGAGTATTCTGAATTATTAAAAAAACAAACTATAATTTAGTTATTTATTTCTTCGAGAAACTAAATGACTTGATGATTTTGATTGGTTGTACCTGATGAGCTCTTTGATAACAATTGAAAATAAATTTGTTTTTATCTTTTTCTGCTTCTTCGTTCGTCGCATACACTAAAAAATCAATCAAAAACACTTTTAACTAACAATCAATCCATCAACCAACCAATCAATCAATCAAATAATTAAAAAGAAACATTTACAAATAGGATATTTGACGTTGTATTTTTTCCTTGCAGAAACAACACTGAATGAAAGATAAATTGTTAAAATAATAGATGCGACTCCAGTTAAGATAACCTAAAAACATTATTTATAAAATAATAAATAATTAAATTAAATAATTAAAATAATAAATTAATCAAATGGATAATAAAATACATTACATATCCAAAATCGTCTGAAATTTCAATTTTTGCCATTGTAATTATAATTTATTTTGATTTTTATTTTTGATAGATTTTTTATTTTGATAGATTTTTTTATTTTAGAAAATTTTTTTAAAAAAAAGAACTGTTGATACATTATAAATATGTACTTGTACCTACCTATATATGTTGTTAGTAGTTTCACAAATAAACAAATACTTCTTGTGTATTAAATAATATTATATTATATTAAGAATAATCAAGAATAATCAAGAAATAATTTAATTTTATTAATAATCCAAAGATTTTAAAAAATTTATTTTTCGGTTGCGTGATAGTAATTGATTATTCGGAAAAATACTTACCCTTCCCAACGTTCCAGAACTGTAAATTACTTTTAATTGCTATTTAGAAAACAATCGATCAATTATTGGATGGATCACACAATGGGCAGTCTTTATTTGGGAACATTTATACTATATATTGATGATTATGATGATCCTTGAAATCCTTTGTAGTATTATTATTATTTTGTTGCCTTAATGTAACTTTTAAACATGCAATTTGTACATTAATAATAAGCTAAAATGAAGATCCTAATAATAATACCAATTCAAAGCCTAATTAATTGTAGTCTATTGCGAGTTTTTTGGGATTTATTGTTGTTATTATGCACTTATATGACCACACTAGGCTACATGTAGTAGATTAATTTTGCGTTTCGGCCGATTAATTTATTATATATAAATTCGAATATTTTGAGTATATGTTTTTTTAAAATACATTCTTAATTAATTAATTCATTCATTAATTAATACATTCATTTGTTTATCATTTGTTTTCTTTTACCCATCCTATCCAAAATGGGAAGCACCATTAGTATTGGTGATATCAGTGTAAAGAAATATTATAAAAAAAAAAAAAACCGTACAAATTTATCATTTTTGTCATCTTCTTCATCTTCTGATGATAAATCTTTGTGTTCATCTAAAAGCTCGGATGGGATTAATGTTTATATAGATGGCAGAAGATATCTTGAAAGTTCAAAATATTCTTTACCGAACGATGATGAAGAGATTGATAGAATGCACATGCAACATTATATATCAAGATTTATTTGGCAAAAAAATTTTTGTTCTCCTTTAGATGATTTGCTAAGATACGGTGGTGCAAAAGTTTTAGATGTTGGGTAAGTGTACTATTTGTTGTTGTTATTTTAATAGGAAATATTTCCAAGTAGAAAATACTAATAAATAATAATGATAATTAGGTGCGGTGCCGGGACATTTTTGCTTGAGATGGGACATGATTATCCCGAATCAGAATTCCTAGGAATTGATATTTCGCCAATGTATCCATCAGAAATTAAACCTTCTAATGTGAAATTTGAACAAATCAATGTTCTAGAGGGTTTACCATACGATGACAACTCATTTGATTTTGTTGTTATAAGAAATATGATAACTGCTTTTTCTATAGACGATTGGGATTTTTGTATACAAGAATTAATCAGAGTCACTAAACCAGGTGGCTATATCGAGGTAAATATTATTGATATTAAATATTAATATTGTGTACACACACATATTTCCATTTATAATAATAATATTATTATTATTATTATTTTAGAGTTCAGAATTTGAAATACCTGCTTCAAATAGAGGTCCAGTAGTGAAAAGATTATCAGAAGCATGTAAATAAATTACAATAATTTTATTTACTATTATTATTATTATTAAACATTTCTAATTTACATTTTCACTTTCCTTTTCAAGGGATTGAAATAATGAAAGCAAAAAGTATAGATATAACTTATTCAAATAGACTCAAAGGTTTATTTTCATCTTATAATGATTTAATAAATATTAATCATAATATTAAATTACTTCCAATGGGTACATGGAATGGTGATGGGGTGGGTAAAATCATGGCGGAAGATTTGGTTTTATTGGCAAAAGCTTTTGGTCCTATATTGTTACTCTCTTGGGGTATAACTTCCGAGCAATATAATTATTTAGTTGATAATTTAACTAATGAATTGGACGAATACAAAACTTATTCTAACATTCATGTAATTTATGCTCAAAAAAAAAAAATTTAACTAATTACATTAATTAATTTTGAATTTCTTTTTCTTATTTAATATAAAAATAATATACAGTAAATGATGGCCCTATTGTATGGAAAGGAAGGTTGTTTTATATCATCTGCTAATTTAGCATGGCTTGATGGTATCATTTGACTTTTCTGAGAGAACCGCATCTTTTTTTTTTATTTTATTATCAAAAAAATTTTACATGATAAATTAAACACAATGACCGCTCTATCTGTATTCTATCTATATTTTTATAATAAACTCTGAATTTTGCCTAAAAATTACTGAAAATGGTGCTTTTAAGACATAAAATGAAAATTTTTTAAAGGTCATTTTATAATCAAAATTGTTTTTTATAATCAGTATTAGCACATCAGGCTATTTTCTTTGACATGGCAGACTTTAAAGAAAGAATTGGCAAATTTTTATGCTTTCAAGTAAACATAATCTTGTACTTTTACTCTTTCAAGCACGATTTTCATTTGTCGGCAGTTTTTTCTTTGAAGAGTAATAATGGAAAGAAGTCTATATTTTTCGATTTTAGAGACACCATTCTCAGAAAATATATGGTTTGTATGAGGGGTTTTTTTCCAGGAGGACAAAAAAGGATTTTACATTGACATTAATAATATTGTAACTATTTACTTTCCACTTTTCGTATTTATTGATTATTCATTTGCAGTAATTTGAACTAAATAATTTTCATAATTCAAGATGATTTTTTGAACTCGTTTGTGTAACAAAAATAATAAAACGCGCATTTATTTTTGAGGATTCTTTTTAAAAAAAAGAGAAATTATTATTTTGTTTTTAAAAAAATGTTCTTCAATTCTACGCGTAACTCTTTATGTAGAACAGCTTTGGATTAGGAACAATACCTATTTTGCCTACTTTATACGGCAAAATTTTGAAATTTTTTCCTTTAAAGTTTCAAAAATAATTGAAGTGCAGATCTTTTTACAATCTATTTTTAGAGTTTCCCCTGTTTCTATTGAAAAGTTCCCGTGTATCTATCAATCAATCGATCCATCTATATAGATGAATAAATAAAGTAAAAAGGAAATTAACCAGCAGTAATCTTTGTAAAAAAAAATTTTGGAAAACAAGATGCGAAAGCATCACCAAATGGAAGGAAGGGATCACAATATTATTTATTAATAACAATGGTAATATAATAGAAATAGAATAAATATAAAAGATCATGAAATTTAAATATTATGTAATTTTCTTGGTGAATGTATTTTTTTGCTTTGTCTTCTGTGTTCTAGTGTATTTTCCCAAATATATGTATACCAAGTTTATATAATAAAAGAATGGAATTGAACTATGGCGATGCCACGTGTCAGTAGGCCTCCCTCCTTTTGAGGAGGCGGTTATCATTGTACTATATAGTACGATCTTCCCTTTTAAATATTGACATGATCAACACAAAAATGGTTGTTCAGGCAAAACAAAAAAAAATGTATCTAGATAAACAAGAATTTATGATGGAAGATAATGTGGACAATATGGTGATTGGAATGGGAGAAGAAGAAATGTCAGAAGAGGAAGAAGAAGAGGAGGAAGAAGAAGAAAGAAATTTTTTTTCAAAAACTGATTATGAAAAAGTAAAAACAGCTTTAATAAATGAAAAATTTGCTCCAGAAATTTTACCTATTGAGCCAGCTTTAGATAATTTATATGTTGAATTAAATAATCAAGTAATGAATGATTCACTTGTTTATATATATATTTGGGGAAAAATACAAGATTAAAAAAAATAAAAAGAAATATATTAAAATCTATATATATATAATTTATATATAATAAGATGGAATCAGCTCTTAATAATTTTAGAAATGCAAAAAGTGAAAGCTCTTATATAGGTTTCATGTTGCTTGCAGATGTTGAACGTATGAAATATATAATACAAAAATATACAATGATACGAATAAGCAAAGTAAGTATTTTTGTTATTTTTATTATTTATTAATAGATTTATGTTAAATATATATATTAAAAAACATAATTATATAAATCAAAAGATTGAAAAACAATTAGAATTAATATTAAACACACCAGTGTATTTACAAAGATTGTCTGATGCAGAATCAGTATTTGCTAACAAGTAAGTCATAATTATGTAAAAACAATTATAAATAAATCATATTATAATTAATATTGATTATTGTTTTTAAAAAAAAAGTTACAAAAAACTTATTAAACAGTTTGAAAAGGATGCATTTTTAGATGATATAAATGATATAGGTGATGATGAAATTGAAAGGGTGGAAGAGGAAAATAGTATTGAAGAATCTGAAGATATAGGTTAATATAACAGTAATAATAAAATAAATAGATTTTTCTGATTTAATTAAACTTCATTTTCTTTTTTAGATTTATTATCAAGTCAATTGGATCTTCAGAAAACAATATTTTGTCGTGCTATAAGAATGGTTCATGAAAACCAACTTCCTAAAAGGTATATATTATCCACACTATTATTTATTTTTTATTGAGGAGGAGGTGAATGTAAAAATAAAGAATCTATATATTTATTAATTAATTGTAGTAATGATTACAATAATTATTAATGTTTTTCATCATTGCCATTTATTATAACTATTTTTTAGTGATGGAGAAAATTATTTTTTGGATAGAATGTCACCAAATGAAATATATTTATTAAGATATTCTGAAATCAAACAGTTATTATTAGAAGGTTATGTGGAACTTATATAACTTTATTCCATAGTTATAAAACAGACTATAGAAGATTTCCTTTTTTGAAAAATTGTAGATTAGTGCATTTGACAAAAATAAATAAGATTTTTAAAAATCATGCAAGACTAATAATAAACATGTCAAGATTTTTGAAATATTTATATTGGACAAAAAATGTTCTATTCCAAAATTAGAATTTTTTTTCACGCCTTTATTATTATTAATAATTGTAAAAATAAAAATATCCAAGTTTAAATAAAGAAATATTTAGAATTAATCAGCATTTGAATAAGTTATATTTTGTAAAAGTCTTCATGTTTAATACAGTGAAGATCATCTATACTCAAAAGTTATAATTTTTGAAATATTATGTGATCCACACATTGGATTTTAAAAAACCTACCACCATTCAATTCAGCTTTAAAAAGGGGTCTATTAATCTAAAAAAATTTTTGTCTCGAAATTTTCTTTTCATAGATTTTTTAAATTTGAAAGTTATGCTCAGAAGTGCAACAATAATTTTCATGTTAGAATATTTTGAATCTCACAACCAAATTTGATAATGATTTTCTTTTAATGTGTTAAACTTTTTTGTTGCAAAGAACTTTTATTTATTAATAAAAAAAAGGAAATAAATAAATCAAAAAAAAAGCTGTTACACGAAATTTACTTAGTCTCAATTTTTTAAGTGTGGACTATTACATTTGTTATTTTATCTTTTGTTTGAATGAGAAGATGCACTTTTTATTTTTATAATTGCTGAAAAAAAAGTTTATTAGTAAACTTTATATGGGGCATACTGCAACAAAACCAGACAAAGTGAACATTGGTGTTACCTAAAATTTTAGGGATCAAAATTATTTAACAAGTATATTATTAATATAATGTGATTTCAATGTTATAGTTTATAGTTCTCATAATTTTCAGTTTATTTTTATTCTATAAATTTTTAATTGCTCAATAATCTTTTATCACTCATTATTCAATATTCTAAATGTAGTAAATTTAACTATCTTTTTGAATACGTTTACGTCTTACACGTCCTTGCTCAGCAAACGTGTATGGTTTGGAATGAACTAAGCTGCATCGATCTCGGTGCAACTGTGATGCCTTGACTACCAGCTCATCCCGAATAGTCACAATGTGGTTTAAAGTTGACTATAAAAAAAATGATTAGTTGAAGTTCCATTGAAACAACCAACAGAATGGTGTCAGAGACAAACCTCTATTCGCAACAGCAATGTTGTTAACTTTTCAATCATTAATAATTGATTGTTTGATTGAGGCAACTTTGTCTTCTTCAAGAGGCCTAACCGCCACAGTCCTCTTGCCTTCCAATCCAATGCATACAAGTTGTAGTAAAAACCTAACATCCCATAAAATTTACTCAGATACCCATTTATATAAAGTCAAAAAAAAAAAAAAAAAAAGACTCGCCATAAGAATGTACGCCAAGTGTATACAATTTCCTAAAGTCTTTACATCCCACACCATTGTTTTCTATTGCTTCCTGGAGCAAGACATCACGCATAGCAACCATGAGGTCGACTTTATCATTCCATCTTTTTGAACTACAGGCTTTGGGTAGTCCTCCTGATCGCAGTCCAATAACTGCCTCAAAGCCATCACAAGTAATCCTGAAATCACAACGTTGCCCAATCAACGATCTGTCAACTAGTTTCTTATTTAGGTTTGCAATCATTGCTGATGCAAGACTCTGTATTTCTCCTCTAAAAATGATATTGTCAGCAAATAAAGAAAAATATTTTCATACTTTCCGTCAGGAAAAAAACCACTTAACTCATCATACACAAATTTCTGATGATAAGTGATAACACCCCTGGTCATCATATTGGTAAAGTTATTTGAGAAAGAACCTTCTGACATGGATACCTTCGATCGATCCAGATTATAGGCACTGCATACCATATTGTGAGAATGTTCAATAAACAATTACGATATAAAGACAAAGATCAAATGGAAAACATACTATGTTTGAACCAATCTTCATATTACATTTATCTTTGGACATCCCTAAAATCAAAATGCATAAGTTTCAAAAATCAAAATACACAAGTTTTAATAGATTAATATTTAGGTAACGTGTACCTTAATGATACATTCTTCAATATCCGTGACAATATCGTCTGATTTTCTCTTAAGTATATATCATAAAACTAAAAAAAAAAGAAGTGCAAGCAAATTAGATTTAAATAATCACTTTAACTTGTATAATGTATAGATAGATAAAGTTGAAATCATGTAGTTACCCACAAAAAAGAGCAGAAGGAACAAATGGTAAATTAAATATTTTATAATTATCAAATTGCACAATGAATATAATAATAACAAATACTTATTATGTATCTGTTACTCAAGTGTGAGAGCAGCAAAGAAAATTTTGGAGAAGAAGCAAGCAAAAGCAATTTTAGGAGAATGTTTATTATAATTATTATTTATTTTTATTATTAAAAATGATCTACATTTCACCCAATAAAAAATCCTTACATATAGTTTTTTATAAGTGTGCTCAACTATGTTTGTGTTTATACTGATGTGTAACACCCCAAATAAGTGTGGGAAAAATTCAAATCAAAAAATAATTGTAACAATTCAGCACTACGTGTCTCATTTTCGATCGGTATTTGAATGCAACATGTAAAACCAGACCCCAAATTCAAATGTGACGTACAAAGCCAAAATATAGATTGCCCAATTCAGCATTTCATCACCTAGAAAATGTATGTGTATTTTCTGTGAATTGGTTTTTCTATACAATGTGGAGGATAAATTGTCTATTTATATGTTTTGTGTTAACTTATTAGACTATTTTGTACCCAAGTGCTAGTAGACTATTTAGCTCCACTAATACAAGGAACTATGAAACACCAACTTATCCCGCCTCAAAATATGACACAAATGCAATCCAATCATATCTTGAATGTGGAATCAAATGCAGATTCTTCCATAAACCTAGAATGGGTCCTCAGTCAGCCTCGAATGTGAAAATGAACGTGAATTATTCCAACCTTGAAGTATGACACAAATGCGAACCAATCATAAGTAGGTAATAGTCTAACTACTAAATGGATTATTTGACAATTCAGACCACAATTGTTCCATGTAAACAAACATTTTCAATAGCAGGAAATACTATGCCCAAGCTATTTGTCTGGAGAATGGTATACAGTATATACTAGAAAATACTGAAAGTAAAATTACTTGCTCTGATATGATAAACATTTTCGATTTTTATTGGTCAGAACCAGGACTGAATCATGCATGGTTGATAATAATAATTATTATAAATATATACATTTTCTGATTGAAGAATTATTTGTAATGAACTATTTTGATATTTTCGTCTTTTTATTTAAAAAGAAAAAATAATAAAGATGAATTGTGTGAATTGTTAAAAATTTCAAATATCCTATTGCACAATAGATTGTACTACTACTTCTTGCTATCTGATATATTATTTTGAAAAATATAATTCTTTGATAACAATATTATGATTGATATGAACAAGTAGAATAATAATTTTCGAGCATAGAAAAGGTAATGTACAATAATAGAAAGTGGCTTATTTATAGTAGATGTGGCTTGAACCAAAAAAATTTCAAAACATCATTAATTGAATTATTTATTTGTAATTTAATAATACAGTCAAAGCTCATTATAGTGGATCTCGTTATAGTGGATCTTTTTTGTTTCCAATGCTAATTAATTCTGCTCGATATAGTGGAAAACATAATAAAATTTCGTTATAGTGGAAAAAAAGAGAAAAATTACATATGGAACCAAGGGTCCACTATAACGAGCTTTGACTGTATGTTATTGTGATGGATAAATCTTATAAAAAATATTTATTTAAAAGACATAATAATGATGATGAATCAGACGAAGAAAATCTTGTGGAAGGAAAAAATGATGCAGCAGCAGAAAAAAGATCAATATCAAAAAATTACAATAAAGAGGAAATAGAGGAAGACCTGTTGTTGGCAATGATTTAGATATTTTAAAATTTGAAGAAGAAAATGAGGTAGAAGATGATCCAAAATTATGGCCAAATAAAAAGAAAGCTGGTATCATGATTTTAGTTTCAATTTCTGAAATGCTTGCTCCTATTGCATATTTGTAAGATTAACAACCTTTTATATTTAAAAGGAAAGAAAAAAATTTGATTGGAATTTTTAATTTTCTATATAGATACAATTAGAAGTCACATGAAAATCTTGGATAATCACCAATTAATTTTTTGACCAATAAAATTAATTAAAATAAATAAGGTAAAGATCTTTGTTCAAAATTTGACGCGTCGAACGAAACCTTTTTATTATCTTTATAATTACAAAAATTTTATTAAATATGTCTACTACTACCCAAGAAGAAACCAGTAATGTATTAGAACAAACTAAGGAAGAATGTAAACCACGCATAGTTATCGAGAAAATGGTTCTCATAAATTTTAAATCTTATTTTGGTCGCCAAGAACTTGGTCCTTTTCATAAGGTACGCAGCGGACCTTTGTCATTAGCAAATATATTTTCGCACCTTGTTACACTTTTCATAGAACATATATTTTCCAAATATTGATTTGCTTATTTATTTATTTTTTATGCATAGTCATTTTCTGCTATTGTAGGACCTAATGGTTCTGGAAAATCTAATGTCATTGATGCACTTTTATTTGTATTTGGTTATCGTGCAAGTAAAATGCGTCAAGGCAAAATTTCTCAACTTATTCATTCATCTGAAGGTCATACAAATTTAAATTATTGTACTGTTGAAATACATTTTCAAGAAATTTATGATTTGGTATTTCAATTATTAATTTTTCTTTGATATCTGATTTATATATATGCATGTATTTGATGATTTATTTATCTATTATTTCGATTATATAGGCAGAATCTAATGATTTTGAAGTTGTCCCTCAATCACAATTAATTGTTTCACGTCAAGTTCTTCGTAACGATACCAGTAAATATTTTATAAATGGTCGCCAGAGTAATTATACTGAAGTCACAACACTTTTAAAAGATCGTGCAATCGATTTGACTCATGAAAGATTTCTTATTCTTCAGGTGATTATTGATTGATTAATTAATTATCTTCTAATCAATTAAATTAATTCATTTATATATATAATATAAAGGGCGAGGTTGAATCTATAGCTCAGATGAAACCAAAAGCCCCAAACGAACATGAAGATGGGTTATTGGAATATCTTGAAGATATTATAGGAACTTCCAAATACAAAATTTCCATTGAAAGAGCTAATCAAAAAGTTGAACAACTTAATGAACAACAATCTGAAAAATTACATCGTGTTCAAATAGTTGAAAAACAAAAACAAAACTTAGAAGTATGTATGGAAGATTCCTATTATTAATATTTAATAAATGTTGATTTATTATTATTATTATTATTATTATTATTATTATTATTAATTCAGAGTAAGAAAAAAGAAGCAGAAGATTTTCTTCGTGATGAAAACAGACTTACAATGAAACAATCAATTCATTATCAACGTCAACTATTAGAATGTAACAATGCTATAGATATTTATACTAAATCTATGGTAAGTCACTTTCCTCTATATAACTAAAGCTCTATGTGAGTTGGCTTACAAAGAGTTTTATACATAACTTTCTTAATCAGCCAATCAATCAATCAATCAATTGATTGATTATTATTATTATTATTAGAATAAACTTATAGAAGAACTTCATGAAGAAGAATTAAAACATTCACAATTAAGACAAGAATCAAAAGAACTTGATGATAAATATAAAAATGTTTTATCAGAATATCAGGTATAACATATAAATATATATATATATTACAAATATATTCGGATTCTAATATTTTTTAAAAAAACATTTTTATTTAAATATTTTAGTCACTTGAAATAAATACTGATTTGATATTAAAAGAATTATCTAAATATGAAAAACAAGATATTCATCTTCAAGAAAAAAAGAAACATATTATTGGAAAACAAAATAAATTAATAAAAACTTTACAAACTGTATTGTATATCTATACCTGTATATATATATTTTATTAAAAAATTTAAAATTCATATATTTATTAAATATTGTGTTTCCATCTTTTTTTCTTATAGAATCGTAAAACTATATCAGAAACTAAAGCTTCTATAAATAACGTTGAGACTAGTTTAGTTTCTCAAAAAAATGAAATTGCAAAAATGGAAAGGGATCTTGTGGATGAGGAGTCCAACTTTGAAATAATCGGAGAAAGTCTTAAAGGTAATCAATCATAAAAATTATTTTTAAACAAGTATATTATATTTGTATAATCTTTTTAAAACAAAAAATATATATATAAAAAAAAAAAAAAAAGAAAAAACTGAAGAATTCACAATGCAGATGGAACAAAAGAAAAGAGAACTTGCTCCCTGGACAGAGAGTATTAATGAGAAACAATCTGCTATTGATGTGGCACAATCTGAATATAATCTTCTCAAAGAAAAAAACGATTCGATTGAAGAAGCTCTTAAACAATCAGAAAATGATTTGAGTTCATTAAGTCAAACTAAAATTTCAAAAGTATTTATATTATTATTTTATTTGTTAATGACAATGATGAATCCTTTAAAAAAAATGAAATTTTATTTTAGGAACAAGAAATCGATTCTATCAAACATCAAATTAATCTAAAAAATCAAGAAATAATGCAATATGAAGAATTGCTAAATGTATTTATATTTTAATACTCATGACTATTATAAAATAATGACATTAATAAGATTATTATTAATATTATTATTATCGTTCTAATTATAGAATAGTGCCAGTTATAAAGAGAAACTAAAATCTGATCTTGCTGATGCTCGTCAAAAAGAAGATGAAGCAAGGACTTCTTTACAATCATCCCAATCAAGAGGCGTTGTTCTCTCAAGTTTAATTAAACTTAAAGATAGTGGGAGAATAAGAGGATTTCATGTATGTTGATTAATAGAAAATAAATAAATGAGAGTGTGTATATATTACATGTTGATTTTAAGAATTTGAATTTTAGGATCGATTAGGAAATCTTGGTGTTATAGATGATAAATATGATGTAGCTATTTCGACTGCTTGCCCTGGACTGAATAATATTGTTGTCGATAATGTAGAAGTTGGTCAAAATTGTATAGAATACCTTAAAAAAAATAATCTTGGTCGTGGCCACTTCATTTGTCTTAATCAACTTCCCGAACTCAGCATGAATCCAATCCAAACACCTGAAAATGTTCCACGCCTATTTGACCTGATAAGACCAAAAGATCAAAAGTTTGCTCCAGCTTTTTACAGTGTTTTACGCGACACCTTAGTAGCAGAAAATTTACAACAAGCAAATAGGATAGCATATGGGAAATATAGATGGCGTGTCGTCACTTTGGATGGTAAACTTATTGATAAATCGGGTACTATGAGCGGTGGTGGTAATAAAGTATCAAGAGGTTCTATGAGTTCAAGATTTGTTGCAGACATTACTCAGGAAACATTGACAGAGTTGGAACAAAACCGTGCCCATATTGAAAATGAATGGAAGGATTTCAATGAAAAACGTAAAGATTGGGAATTCCAACTTGAAAAAAGACAAGATGAAATCCCAAGATTGGAATTGGCCTTAACAAAATCTGAAATGGATTTACAATCTTGTATAAAACGTTTTGCTGATGTTGAGAAACGTGTAAATCAATTATGGTAAAAATCTTTATTTTATTTATTACAAAGAAATTAAAACAATAAACAATATTTTCTTACCTATCCGTCTGTATGATATTATTTACTGCAGCCAACAAAATAGACCAAATCTAGAAGATCATCAACAAATGCAAGAACTTCAAATAACAATAGATAATTTTAATAGAGACATAGAACAATTAAAGGAAAATTATTCAACGCCAATAGAAAATGATATAAAATATTTACAAGATCAAATTATGGAAGTTGGTGGTGGTAGACTTCGTGCACAGAAAGCTATAGTCGATGGAATTAGATCAGAAATAGATCGACTTACTGAGCATGTTACAACCTTGATGGTGACCAAATCAAAATCTGAGAAAGATTTAACTAAATTGGAAAATTCTTTGACAAATTGTGAGAATGAAATCGAAGAAATTAACAATCAGATAAATCAACTTGGAGAAGAAATTGAACAAAATAATGAAAGTGCTAGTTCTATTAACTCAAAAGCTGAAAAGTCAAAAAATGTTTGTATATTTATTTATATATATTATAATTTATTTATATTATATTTATTAATATTTTTTTAAAAAAAGGATTTAGAAAATAAAAAAGATGAATTAGACGAAATCAAAGCTCAACTTGATGACAAAAATGAAATATTTAATCAGATGAGATCTGTTGAAATGGAAATAAAAAATAAATTGGAAGATATTGAACATAATTTAGCAGGAAATCAACAAAAACAAAGACATTGGAATGAACTGCTTGAAAAATTGTCGCTTCATAAAATTGGAAGCGATGATGACATGCAAGAAGATGAACTGCAATTCTATTCTGATGATGAATTAATGGCAATTAACAAAAAAGATTTGATTAATGAAATCAATAAATTACAAGAAAAAGTACAAAACGCGAACCCAAATCTTGATGTGTTAATTGAATATCATCGTTATGAAGAGGAATATAAAGCGCGGACAAAAGAACTTGAAGAGATAACAGAAATACGTGATGGTTGTAAAAGAGAATATGACGAGTTACGCAAAAGAAGATTAGACGAATTCATGTGTGGATTCACATTTATATCAAAAAAATTAAAAGAAATGTATCAGTTGATGACACTTGGTGGAAATGCAGAACTCGAATGTTGTGATAGCTTGGATCCTTTTTCTGAAGGTATTATATTTAGTGTTATGCCACCAAGAAAAAGTTGGAAAAACATATCAAATTTATCTGGTGGTGAAAAGGTATTTCTCTTTTTTTTTAAAAAAAATTCAGTAAACTTCATAGTTTATATATTAATATAATGAAAAATTTTATTAGACATTAAGTTCTTTAGCATTGATATTTGCACTTCATCATTATAAACCAACACCAATATATGTTATGGATGAAATTGATGCAGCTTTGGACTTTCGAAATGTCTCAATTGTAGCAAATTATATCAAGGAGCGTACCAAAGATGCACAATTTATTGTTGTTAGTTTACGTAACAATATGTTTGAATTGGCTGATCGTTTGGTTGGAATATATAAAACCAAAAATATGGTAAAATTCAGTTTATTGTTGGACTTTTCTTATTTCTATACATCTACACAACATATTAATATAAAGAAATTTCTATTTTAATTTAATGATTCATTTAGACAAAATCTATAACAATATCACCAAATGATGTACAACAACAACAACAATAATAAACAATCTTTTTCATTTTATTTGTTTTATTCAATATTCTGCCTATTAAAAATTATGTATATATATACATAAATACAAGAGCCTTTTAAAAAAATCAATCAATTTACTTTAAAAATCAGTAACTCTTGAACCATAGCTCCAATCACTACCATGTTTCAATGGATCTTCTTTAGGACCATTAACCTCACCAGTTACAGGATTTTTATTACCTTCAAATTCAGGATTTGGTTTTCTAAGTAAATCAGGGTGATGTTTTTCATCATCAACATCACCATCATTTGAACTGATAAAAGATCCTTGATTTTTACGTACTAATTCTTCAAATTCTTTTTGATCTTTTAAGTTGCCTAATGGAATTGGTGCAGGTCTATCAAATGGACCAGTTGAATAATAATAAAAAATGAATTTTTTGTCATGATTATATGAATTCTTTTTTTGCAAGAGATGATAAAATATTAATTCACGACGGTATTTAAATATCGATTGATAAAATTTCATTTATGCAATCTTTAAAAAAAACGGTTAAAAGTATTAATTTTCCTGCCGATCATTATACATATTAATATTAATATAATATTATATAGTCGGCACATTTTTCTGTACAACGGACTTTGGCGAATGAATTGAACGTAACTCATTATTAAATAATTTATGTGCCTCTAAGTAAAAACAATAACTTGCCTTTGACCTTTAAAACGCGAGTTTTATGCACATGTAGCTCTTCCAGTTATGGAGTAATAGCCTCTCAAAGAAACCTATGGTTTTTGACTTCGGAAGCTTAATTCTTTTCGGAAATCAGCTCTATTGAGATCGTTTTAGGATGATAAGACAGAGTACATTGAGAGCTTTTAGGAAATATATGGTTTGTATGGGTTTGTTGGGGAAGGAAGAAATTAAAAGCAAAAACGGTTCTATAAGTTATTTATTATTATAAGAACTCCAACAATTTTTTTTTTTCACAAATTAAGAAATGGATCCATCTTGAATTTTTATCATAATACTTTGATAGGAATGTATTTACAAATATAAGAAATTACATGATTAACAAAAAGCAGTTTTCATTATTGGCCTCGAATTTCAGATTCAAGCACATCACCTCAAAAACTGGGTGAGATTGTGTTCATCACGAGGATTTAAAATTTTTATGGGTTGGCTTGGTTCATGTACATATGCTAATTTGTCGGTAACATCATTACCAACAAGAGCACATTGTACCTGATTGTTGGGAGCCTCTTCCCAGACTAAATCTTTGCATGGTCCCATTTTTACCAATTATTATCATCACCAATAGATATTTCAAACATTCGAGACGCACAGTATTGTATTGCAGGCGACCCATAACCCCAGCTCTTGCTGTAATTGTATTCCACCCTCTTCTTCTGAGCCTTTTTTTAACATAATATGGCAATATTGTTTGTGGTGCACCTGTGTTTGACCACACATGAGTACACCTTGTTGTTGTTTTGTATGTCATAAAAATCATAGTCAAGCTGAGCAATTAAATTTTCATTAGGCCTTTTGACATGGACTCTGACCTTTATTTGAAAAAATTACTAAATTAACTTGAAAAACTACATGAATATATTCTTTTACTAAAATACAATTTCATAAGATAAAACAATTATGATCAGATCCATATTCAAACCTTGTAGTCATCATCATTTCCAGTACGCTGAGTAATTACCATCTTTTGTTTATTTTTATTGTGAAGAATTTTAAGATATATGAATTAAATGACAAAAGAAAAACACAACCAATTTACACTTGTAATTGATAAATTAAGATTTATTGTTAATATTCCAATTTTTGGAATAAATTTACAATTTTATATTCATTAGAAAGCTGAAGTTCCATCATCCATCATACTGAAAAATTACATATTGTTATTATGTAGACTTTAAAGATTGCCAACAATTTAAAACATCAACTGCTCATGTTAAATTCTTTGGTTTTTTTAAATTTTGATTAATACTGAACTGATTTGGAATGAAAATACCACCATTAATAATGGATTTTCCGTGTGTTTTGTTTTAATCAAGTTGTATTTAACAAATAAAATGTTTTGTAAGAAAAAAAATGCCCATTTTTATTTGCGACTTTATCAGTCACTCAATAATATTCCAGAACTATAAAATCTTATTCTCACATTCCGTTTTAATTTCACATTTATAAGTTAATATAAATGACATCATGGAAAAAATCCGGATTGCTTACTTAATTGTGCTGCTTTTATGAAATAAACTGAACATTTATGGAGTGATAAACATGATCACGGAGATATAATGGAAATATTCTGGAGTGTCATATTTTACAGGGTAAATATATGTTGAAAGTCAAGAAACTCGTTCACCAACTCTACCCACCCAAGTTTCTTAAAGTAATGTTGTTAATAATGTTACTGTAGCTAACGTTTTCAATCATTAGTGATAAATTTTTCGTTAGCTATTTTATTTCACTCGTGGAAAAATCTTTAAATGGAAAGAATTTTAACTGCTAAAGAAAATAAAATAATTAAGAGTTTATTATAATGATAGAAAAAATCGTCCAATAAAAAAAAATTATTGATTATACAAATTGATCTATAAAAATCCGATTAAAACAATTTTTGTTCATTTATTTCAAAGTATTTTATAAATAAATAAACAAAATCTCGATCTCACAGATTAAGACATAGCATTAACTCACATATGCTGGCCAATTTATCTCAAGATATTTAGAAAAAAGTCAATTCTCCGAGATACTCTTTTGTATTTCTGCAGATCAGAACAAAACATTCATGTTGTACAAATAATTGTTGACAAAAAAAAAAAATAGTTGATAAAATAAAATTCAAGAAATGGACAAAAAAAATAAAAATAAAGCAACGTCATCCAAACAAAGTTCTAATTCTTATAATTTATATGATGAGGCATCATTACCATTGCCATTGCCAGAACCAGTAAGTAATTCAAAAGCACAAGCTTATTATTAATGAAAAGAATTGTACTATTATCGAAATATTACTCTACCAATAATTAGTGTCAGTTTAATTTTCTCTTGAACCTCAGTATTTAACGGAGTTAGTTGTTAAAGAATACCGACATTTAATTTTGTATTGTAATATAAAATTATTATTATGTAGAATTTTCTAGAATCAATAAGTCATTACGCTGGCTTTTATTATTCAAAAAATAATGAAATACCAGGAATCTATGAACAAATGGACGAGTCAGCTTTGTTGACAATAGGTAAGTTTGTAAATTATGATAATAAAAATATATTGATATTATTATTAATATTAATAATATACTGCTGTAAATTTTTTAGGTATATTGTTACAAGAATATACTAAAAAATTGATTATGGATAAAAAGATATTGATAGATAAGAAAAAGAGAATAATAAACAAAATTTGATAATATTTAAATAATTAATAATGTTATTATTATGATGGTGATTACAAAATCATTTTATGACCCATTTTTGTTATTAACAAAGAAATTCTCTATTTCATTAACTCAAAAAAATAAAAAAATAATTTTATCATGAAACAAATCTAAATACTCTTTAAATGATCACTATTATAATTCAAATGGGAAAGCAAAATTGAATATTTTTTGGAATAATGTAAAGCATATAATTTTCTAAAAAGATTTGCTGAAAGTGCAGGAAATGATTTTATTGAAACAACAAAAATTACTGGAAGAAGATCTGAATAATGGATCCCTAAAGCACATCTACAGAAGAATTTAAGAAATTGATAGATATATTTATTATTTACTTATTATTATTATCATTTATAGATTTTGAATGAAGGAAACTTGTGAGTTTATAATGTGTGTGTAATTGGAAAATTTGCACATTATACAAGAGTTAAAACCATAATCATCACAATCTTGTGTAAAACACACATACACTCACATGCTGGGATCTACTTTAGATGATATTATTTAACCTTTTTGAAATAAAATATATGTTCTTTTCTCTAAACCACCATTCCAAGATTCAACGTCATTTTTTTCACTTTTTCATTTCATTATAATCATCCTCATCCTCCTTATCATCAGTACACTTGATAATAGATTTCCTGATAAATTTTCTTGGAGCATCAATTTTTTTGCCATTGCATTTTTATATGCTTTTCTTATAGTTTTCTCTTACACATATCCAATTTGATTATTAATTTAGATCATATATTAATATGAAAATCTGTCATAAATAAGAACCCCAACTGTGTTCATAAAATCACTAGAAGATACAATTGACAGAACTTCAGAGGAAATAGCCTTTCTTTTTTAACAAGAACTAAACAAATATATTACTTTACAAAAGAACGTGTTTTAGGGTCAAAGTCAATAAAACTTTAGTAAGTCCAGTGCAAAGAAAAATTAGTGATGGAACACTTGAAAAGGACAAGGTACAGGCAAAATTTGCAGATCCCTGTTCCATCATCTTTGATTACACCGATTTTGTTGTTTTTTTAAAAAAAAATTAATGTGTTCAATTTTGTGTGACTTATTTTTTAACAACAATGAAATATCAAGGTTATGTTGGTAAGTGTTGTCAAGAGAAATCAGCTTATGATTTAAATATTTCTTTTAGATTCTAATAAATTCTCTCAGTGCTAGTTTCCTACTTAAAACAACAAAAAGGCTGTTTGTATTACGAGTTTATAAATACCCATTGTGATGTAATAGTTGCTTCATATCCATTTCCAGATGATTGGTGGGGCCTTGATGGAATATGGTATAAATGATTTTTGAAAGAATTAAAAGAAATTTATAAAGATAACTTTTCAGCTGTGAAAAAAAGATTTAGTATTTTTTATTTAGCTGAAGAGCACTTCTGGTCAGGTCCTGCCTGGGTTCCACCATTGTGACTAGATTTTCTTGTTTGTATTTAATAATAAGATTGGATCATTATTTATAATTTTACATTTGAGTTTCCTTGTAGAATGATGATGAATGAAATAGGCTTGATTTTCAATGTTATTTGGGAAGAAATATTGGAAGAAAGAAAAAAAGTAAGAAATTACAAAATACTTATATTACACAAAAATGTGATATAATTATACAATCATTCTCTTATATAGTAAAAAGATTAAATAAAAGTTTGGAATTGCTCAAAAGTGGTAAGTTAAGCATATTTTTTTGTTTTTTGTGGTTTTAACCTTTCAAACTTTTTTATATTTTATCTGCACAAGGGGGAATCTTTTTGTTCATTAAGCAAATCAATAAAACACACTAAGGGCAAAGATGTTATGTTAGATTTTTGACTCATATGGTATAGACCTGGGGGAATGGGAGTTTGCTGTGAAAACTACACCAGATAAAGTTATTAAAGATTGTTGTCATTCATCAATAATAAATCAATCAATTATGAATGGATTGCTTCGTCTTAATTTAACAAATGAACAAGCAAGTCAAATAAAAATTCCTTTTGTACAAATTGCTGGAACCAATGTTCAGATGCTATTAGAAGTGTTGCTCAATGGATTTTATTTAATGGTGCCTAGTCCAAAATTTCAGATCCCAACTAAAATAGATCAAATAGTCAAGTTAAGGCAAACTGTAAGGATTGTTCAACATGTTATGGTAAGAATCATTATTTTTTATTACCTTTTTTTTGTCATCAAGAATATCCCAATTCAACTATTTGCACAGAGTATGTATGACGAAACAAAACGCATTAGTAAATAGTCTAGCAGTTGGATGTCATGAATTTGACGAAGTTTTCAATAACCCTCTTACAAATGTTCATTCCAAGTCACATTACATTAACAAACCATGGTGGACCTAATGCGATTTATATTTACTTAATTATGTTTCAGAAGAAATCAAATCATTTGTGTATATTATATTATAACAGAAAGAACGAATGAGATGAGTTAGATAACCAATTTTTGAGGTGAAGGAATTGGGGAAGATTTAATTAACATATATGGATAATTAGAATGACAAATTGGCTTACAAAATAAAAAGAATTATATATAAAGCATACACAAGTATTTGGCATTCATTACTCGTTTGTATAGTAATAATAATAAATTTACGTTTTAAAAGCTAAAAAATTTATGCAAAGGCAATTTTTATTAATTAAATTATTCAAAAATAAAAATTTAATTTTCTAAAATTAATTCTGTAATAATATCTTTGGTACTGTTGTGCATGAAAATGAAATTTCAGCCATTTCTAAAAGACTAAGATACCAATAGCACCCACAACTAGTGGATATGAGAGGCTTGTACCAGATAATTCACATTGTATGAGGCCAAGGAAAAATGAAGGAATATCTTTACCAGGAGCACGCGCATCAATGTAAGGTCCAAAATTTGAGAAATCAGTAATTGGTTATAAATTTGCTAACGGTAATATACAAAATGTTACTTTGTAAAAAGTGCTTTCCCCGTATATATTTCGTATCAAAAATGCGTTTTGCTAATGCATCTCGTATCAAAAATACGTTTCCCCGTATCTAATCATTCCGCATATACTCAGTACATAATTTTTTATATGCTGCATATGTTTGTCGAAATGAAGTTTGACTGTCTGTATACTCGCCTTACTCTAGTTATATAGTGCAAGACACCTAGTCCCACAATTTTTTATTGTCCTTGTAGATCCTTCTCTAACTCCAAAAATGGAAATGTAACACCAAAAAAATAAGCCGTAATTTTGAAGCTAAGACCTTTCTCTACAAAGTTACGATTTCATTTTGTTGATATGTCACAGCATTGCGCAGTTAGAAGGGCTCAAAGTTGCACAAGTTTACAATGTTCATGATGAAATTGGCCGCTAATATCGTTACTAAATTTAGACTAGCCTGTAAAAATCATTTCTAAATTTGGTAGTCACAAAAATATGAATTATTCTTTTGAATAGTTGGATGCGAAATATCCAAGCATCCTTTTGCACAATGATGTAATTTTTCATAAAATAGTCTATTTTGTGGCCAAATAGTGCATTGATTGAGTAGTCTAATAAATTACTACAAAAACATATAAATAGACCAAAAATTGCAATGGTTGAGCAAGTAGTGCCAAATGGTATCTGTGATTTGATTTTTACAATGTGAATAAAGATATGTACATATTATTTATTAGATAATTAGATAGATAGTATAAGCATGTAACAATAATACACTAGTTATATCAGAAAAAAGGAAAGATGAGAGATGACAATTAATCTTTTTAATATGAAAAATGTATGGTGTCAAAAAATTCTTTGAGGGCAAAGCTCTCAAAGAATGCTCTCCGCAGGAGCATTGGCTTCTTCACATGAAGGAAATTTTTTTTTTAGCAATGTTATAACATTATATATATATTAATATATAAATATTTTTTTTTAATTTGTATCACCATTAAAGGTCACGTGACATAAAATTTTATTGCATTTTTGAGCACAACTTACAATTCTGAGCTTTGAAGATTTTTCCCAAAATTGGCCACGAGGCGCAGCAAGTTGCGGGACTAGGTGACTTGCACCATACTTTTAAAATAAAATTTAAAACCCCGGTTTGACTCGAATCGTTTTGTTCGAAGCCTTAATCACAAATCATTTGAATAAGAAATTGTATCATTACTATTACAAATAGAAGAAGAACTCTGCGTGTTAGCATCATTTACATTGCAGTCATTTGTGCTTAAATTAGTCACTTGGTGATGATGTTGTTTGACGAAATGCTACCAAAGTTGTAAAACCATTACGTCAAAGTCGCTGCCATTAAGTCAAAAATGACGCAAGTAAAATTGCTTTAAAAAGTTAATAAAATATAAAAGCTCACAAAAAAACTTATAAATATGTACTCCGAGGTCTTTTTTTCTTGTGTGTCCCAATCTCTACTTTTTTTTTTCAAGGCGCTAAGTTTTTCTTTTGCTGAATACAAAAAAATTCAATTCCCACACGCTCATTTACCAACTAAACTCGGGTAGATAAAATCATGTTTCAGGGTCAACTAATTTTAGTGTATAATTATTAGCTTCTTATCTTTATTGTAGTGATCAATAAAATTTCATTAAGGATAACTTAAGGCCTTCGCTTGAAAAAGCATAACTTCGGATCCTCGCAGAGGAAAATAATACATTCTAATAAAACAAATTCTGTGATAGAATCATTATTTTCATTAAATAAACTTAAATGTTAATAATCTTTTAAAAATAAAATAAAACCAAAAACATTGTCTTTATTTTCTTTGTTTAAAACACTTTAATAAAAGCAACAAGTGTAGTTAGTACCTTGATAAAAGGCAACAATCGTAGAGCTTTGGTAAAAAGCCACGTTTATTTGCTTTAGTGAGCAAGCAAGTGAGGTTATGACTAACATTGGTTAACTAGTGAGTGCTGACAACAATTAGTAACATAATTTGCTTTAGTGAGTAAGCAAAGGTTAATCGGAAAATACTGGTAGTCGTGAACGTAAGGTTGCTAAACAAGCTACTTAAATTGTTTTGCAAGTAAACCAAAGCGAGTTTGCAATCGGCCAATAAATGTAAGCAAGGGCAAGAGGCTGAAACAAATCGATCACAAGTGAATAAAGGAACTTTATACCATTGCAAAAGGACCATATTTATTTATTTACAGTTATCAAATGTGCCCACAGATTCGTCTAGATGCAAGAAAGTGGAAACCAAATTCGTAAACTAATTAATTGACAAGCGAATTATTTTCAATTAATTGACAAAAGTAGCCCAAAAGTTAAACCATAATTGTTAATTAATCGAAATGATACCTCGCAATATCACCATTTAACAAGAATCAAAAAGTTTATTCAAAACATTGTTACAAGATAAGAAATAAAATAAGGATAAAATAAAAAGATAAATAAAAAGATAATAATAAATTATAATGGGATTAAATTAGCTATTCATCGCATCTTTGTTTTATCATTGTTACTAGAACCTAATGTTGATTAATTAATTAATTAATGTTGTTAGTAATAATTAATGGATAGTAATTTCCAATTAATTAATATGAAAATTTTATTCACCTTTGTTAACATTTAGAAAAAAGAGTTACAATCAAGATTATTTAACGAACTATTACTTGTATAAATTTTCAAGCTTTTAGATTTAGCAATCTCTCCATCTAATATTCTACTTTTATGATATGCATCTGGGTGTGATTTATGTGCTTGTTGCGAAGTACTACTACCACTACTAGTAGTATTATTACCATTATCATCATTATTATTTTTAATAATTTCATCACGTTTGTTTTTAGCAAAATCAAACAGCTCTCTACTAGTTGGTCTTTTTGATGGACTACATCCCAACACCTCTGCATCATTTGCGCATAATCATCAGGCATTCCAGGTAGTATTGGTGGTCGTAAACCTTCACATATATCAAAAATCAAACGATGATTGTGAGCTCTATCATCAAATGGTGGATGTCCTGCAAATATTTCCCACATTAACATTCCAACACTATAGATATCAGTTTCTTTGGTGTTCTTTGTATTAATTTTGCCTCTAAGTAGCTCGGGTGCAACATATGATACAATTCCATAAACTTTATTTGATGATTCATCATCAACTGGCCCACATAAACCTAAATCTGTAATATAACAACAACCTCCTTGCACAAGCATATTACCACTATGTAAATCACAATGGATTAAATCTTTCCGATGTATCTGATCTAATGCACCACATAAATATTTAAAGATTGTAATTCTGTCTTTTAATGTTAAATTTAAATGATTGTTTTGCAAATAATCCCTTAAATTTCCCTCTTGAGCATAAACTAAAACTATTGCATAATTTCCATTATCTGGAAATTTAGTTATACCATAGCAATCAACAATCAAACCCGATTTAATTTTACAATAATTTATTGCCTGAAATAAATATAAAATCAATTAGTATTATATAATACAGTATTGTTTATTTGTCCAAATGACAACTACCAACCTCATCAAAAAAGCCTTTTCCTGGATTACTTGAATCATTTAGACTTTTTAATACTACATAATGTGCTCCTAAATAACTAAATTCCTTTTTATTTTCGTCATAATCAACAATAGTTCCTCTTGTCCATGTGGCAGTAAAAATCAAACTAAATCCACCTTCTGTCAACTTTGTCACTTTTTTAAATTGCTCAAAAGGTATCCATTCTAATATATGAGTTGGCAGAGATGATTTCATTTGACATTGTTGAATAAAGTTATCAATTATGTTATTTCCAGATGTCCAAGTGGTGAAAAGACTCTGTAATTGTAAACTGATACAACCTTCACAGAACCTATCAGAGTATCTTGTCAATTTACATTTGTTACATTCTTTTGGTTTGCCTAATTTATATGTTACATCTTTTAATTCAAACTCATAAATAAAACTTTCTTTAAATATTCTTTTTCACTTTCAGAAAGCTCCTTGTTTTTTTTGACTAATGAAAAATAATAATCTTTCCTATTTTCTCTATCACAATTAGTAGTAGCATCATTACGCATTCCAGTATTAATTTTATATATGAGTTTCATTCTTTCTGGTGGTATTAATGATAATAAGTAATTATATGACATTATAAAAAAATATATTTGACTTTCTGTTTTAATGAAGTTTTTTTTTATCGAGTATAACAGTTACTTTTTCTTTGCGGAGAATTGAATAGTGTAAACAAACAATTCTCATTAAAATTGATAATCATTTATTACTGTCATAATAGTATGCACTAAGAATTTTAGCATTCTTTTTTTTTCTTTGTTTGCTATTAAGACTTCAAAATTAAACTTACAAAAGTCGCTCTACATAAAATGAAAAAATCGAATTGTTTTTGACTTTGAAGTTAACTATGCGTAATATTAATACGCAATAATAAAAGAATAGTAAAAGAAGAGACATTTTTATTTTGAAAAAGAATATGAATACACGGAAAAAACCCAAGTAATTTCATAATAACAATATATGAGTAAAATTTCAAGTTATATAGTGCAGGACACCTAGTCCCACAACTTACTGCGCCACGACGACAGATTTGGGAAAAAATTCCTAATCAAAAATGCAATAAAAATGGAGCGATCACGTGCTTTCAGAAAGTTAAAAGGACCGTGACCACAGACGATCATTCCATAAATGGGAAAAATCAGCAATAATAATAATAATATAATGTTAACGGGAATATTTATTTAATGATTGGAGTTGTTTACATAATTAAAGAGTTGTTACAAAAGGAAATTATTCATGAGTTTAATAAATTTAATATTAAAGATTAAAAGCATAATCCCATTTGAGAATTAGAGATGGAAAACTTCAATAATGTTCTTTGCCTTTCTTGATGGATGCATATATTAAAATGAATATTTAATGAATAATAAAAAAGTTAAAAGTTGCAAGGGTTTTGCAGTAGTGCCAAAATGGTATATGTGATTTGATTTTTACAATATAATAAAGATATACACATATTTATATGATTTTATTAATTGGATAATATATATATAAGCATGTAACAAGAATACACCAATTATAATACAAAGAGATGATATAATTATTCATTTTTTTAAAGCATCATTGAGCTTAACGAAAAATGCATGGTCCTGGGAATTCTGAAGAGGGCGAAGCTCTCTTCAGGCCCTCCGCAGGAGCGTTAGCTTCCTCACGTGAGGAAGAAAAAAAAAAAAAAAAAAAAAAAAAAAGAGCAATTCATATAAAATTTATATTAAAGACCATGCTATCAACACTAAAGATTAGTGCTGTAAATTATGATGATGGCAGTGATTATATTTACGGCATATAAAAAGTGGTTGCAATTACCTTTGCAACCATACTTTTCCTTTTTTGGATTATGGCACTAGTCTTGAATCAACACATCAAACACTGGTATAATAATAATATATAAAATAATAATGAACAAAAATATTTTACATGAGATATTTTATTTAAGAATTAAGTTGAATTTTATATTTTTATTATTATTATTTAAAAGATTTATATACATGTTAACAAATACATTTTCGATTTTTACAATTAAAGATTTACAAAAAGAAAATAGAATTAAAATTGATAATTTAATAAATGTAATAAATATTCTTTATTTAATAATAATGATAATAGTATGTAAGAATTTTATGAACAGATAATAAATATTTATTTAATTTACATCTTGTAATAAATTCTCTGATTTTTTAATCTTTTGTAATAAGAGGACAAATTCAACATTGATATTATTAAATATCTATTTGAATTGTGCCTCTTCAATTACAATGAAGTAAAAGAGCCACTCTACTGCCTTCCGGTTCAACACTTCCTCCAACCAGTCTCCAATCTAATAAACATATATATATATACATAAAATACATAGAAGAAAAAATTAGTAACAAAGGAATGGTTTCATGCAAGATTGATGATAAATTACAATATTTATATAAAACGCGAATTTTATAACTACATTAACAGGATAAAAATAGAGTTACTAAAATGGAAACCCTTACTAAACCAGTTTTAAAGCAAGTAATTAATTCCCTTTGTATAAATAATAAATAATTGATATCCAAATACATATAATCAAACGTGTATAAATTTTTTTGTTAAAAATTCATATTTACATCTTTGAATTAATTTTATTAAAGAAGCAATCAGTTGTTTTAAAGTACTTGATGATATAGAATTGCCCCTATTGACAACAAAGAAAGATTCATATATAGTTAGCCAAAAATAATTGCCGCAAATAAAGTTTTTTATGCTTGCTAAAAAGCCACAAATATCATAAGCAAAATATACTTAAAAAATTTATCTTAACTTTAAATGTAGACAAAATAAAAAAAAGGAATTAATCCACGTTTTTTTAAATTGATGATCTTGTTAATCTTATGATATATAAAAGAAATCATCCTTGATTTTTTTTTATCAAAATATTGTTGAAAAAAACACCAACGTGAGTTGATTTTCATTCTTAAAAAAATTCAAAATTCAGTAATGGAGTTGGTAGAATTGTTACTGACTGCCCATACCTTCTCGAGCTTCCTGATATCATGGAAGATTATAAACTCAGGGGGGGGGTGGAGTGACCCAACTCATTGAAAATTGATTCACTTAGTCATTTTACCTAATGGCTAACCCTCCACTTTTTTTTTTTTTTAGATGCCAAGAAGAATTAGAACTCGCAGAAACAAGCATAAAAGGATATTAAAGTAAATATAATAATAATAATTATTATTATTTGTTTTATTTAATTTCAATGTACTAATTTTTCCTTATCAATTTAGACGATATATCCTTTTTTTTATCCAATTCATTAATTTAATAGTTGTTCTTTTTTTTTTATACCATATACTTTATTCTATCTTTTATCCAAAATCAATTAAACCAAATTCCGTTAATTCCGTTAATTTGAAACCCCCACTAAAACCATTCACTTTTATAACAATACAAAAAAAATGTAAATTACGTAAAAATAATAAAATTAAAAATGAAGATTTATATTAGATCTTTGGATAGATCAAGTAACAAATGATAATTGTATCTTGTCTGTATATATTGTTATGACAAAAGCTAAAGTCTTTGCCAACTATTTTTGCGCAAGAGAATGAATGTGTGACGGGAGAAAAAAAATTCGTGTTCAAATTTACAAATTAATTCCAATAAAATATGATATTAATCTTGTTAATCCATCAAGCCTGCCTATACAACTGATAAACATTCATTAGCATGTTGATTTGTAAGCTTCATAGATCTTGTTAATTCCATCAAACCCACCTATACAACTATTGAATAATTGATAAATGTTCATCAGTAAGAAATATCTTTATCAATTATATTCAATAAGCGTGATGGAAGCATTAAAGATAAGATATGAATATTTGAATAATAACAATAGGTAATTATCATTAATAAACCAGTTTTTCTATCTAATTTTAGCCATTAAACTAAAAAACTATTTTATATATATATATTAAAAAGAAAATTATTTATTGATAGAGAAATCTAAGGATTCCGAATATGGTAGGTGGCCCACTCATAATGACTAGGCGTTTGGATCCATCTATTCAATGAGGACTGATAAGCTCTAATGTAAAAGGAATACACAGGTTAAAAAGAAATAAAAAAGGTATATATATAATATATAAATAAAGAAATCGAAAATTTTATTTTCAGAAAGTAAGAATTTTAAAGACAAATAAATAAAATAAACAGTTAATTAATGATGGATTCTATGTTATCAGGAATTCTTCTGTGGGAGCGGTACTTCTTTACAGCATATTCTGCAGCCTTACCAGTCAATCCTTTCCTATATGCATCCATATACCTGAAGGATCTACGTGCATATTTTCTTATGGACGGAATAGGAATAGAATCTAAGGCCAAAGGTACTGTTTTAATAAGACCTTTCATTGTATAATCACAATTTTCTCTGGTGTACCTTTTGGCTGCACCCCAATACATTTCAATAAAGTTTAATTCACAATGGAACTTGGGGTAGAAGATTACCATATGACCTTTTTTCTCAATTTCTTCTTGAATCACTCCTTTTTGTGCTTTGAAATCTGGTTGTAATTCTAGAATTTTCAAACCACAACAGTCTATTTTTTCATTTTGCTCCCTTGATGCTTTAGTTTTACACTCGGAGCATACTCTTCTCAATCCTTCTCTCCACAAATTCCTTTCTTTTAATATTGTTTCCATCCCTTTTTGTTTTCCACTAGGATGAACCATATGTTGAGTTACACCATTTACCATAGTCTCTCTCATGTATGGTTGTTTTCCACCATCATTCCAACCTACTTTGGACGCAACTAAAGCATCATCAGCATAGGCAGCATGTGAAGTTGCATTATCAAAGGCAAATAATGCAATGCAATCCTTGTGTGTTGCTTCAAAAATCGGAATTGCTTTATTTATTATTTGATCCTTTAATTTTTCTGTTGTCCACCATCCATCATTATTTAATCCTGGTTGAAGATATTCGAAGCTATGTTCATGTAAGTAAGGAAACTGGCTTTTTTGGCTTTCATTTAATTTCAAAGGTCCAATTGTTTCTGTTAAAAAACCACTAACATGATAAGCCCTTCCCTTTCCTTTTTTTTTTAATGGTTCTTCACCAAATATTTTCCAACCCATACTTTTACTTTCATTTGAATAGAAAGTTGATTCATCATGTGTCACCAAAATTTTCATCTTAACACCATCTTCTAATACAGGATTAATTATATTTTCCAAATCGTCACCCTCAAACCTTGGAGCATAAGGCTCATATTCCTCTTCCATGAATTTTAAAAATTCCTTTCTATATGCCACAACATCATCTCTCTCATGACCATCAAAATATATCCCTTTTTTATAAGTATCATACTCCCATCCCAACTTTTTAAGCCACCTTCTTGCTGTTTTTTCAGATATTGTTTTGTTTTCATTTTCTACTCCTATGTTGGGCAATATTGTATTATTAACATGTTCACATAATTTTTTTGGTGTCATTTCAACTTTATTAGATCGTGCATAACTCCTTATTTGAGCAGCAACATCTTCATGATTCCAAAGGCTTTTCGTTTTTGGGTGTTTCCCTCTTTTTGATTCAGGTAATGTTCTATTTTGGATCCATTTTTTAGCCCAAGATCTAATACATCTCCCTTTATAAATTTTTGCCCACCCTAGAGATATTGCCACCAATTCACTCGCATCAACCTTTTTTCTACCATCATCTAAATGTCTAAAATACATTTCAATTGCCATTAATCTAGATTTTACATTATTGGCTAGATTAGGGTTTTCAAGAGCTTGTTCAACAGACTTTATTGCATTTTTCCAGTCATCTTCAAGACTGACATCAAGATCATCATCACCTTCTGATACATCATTATCATCATCTGCTGACTCGTCATTACTTTCAAGTTGATTTCCACTGGAAGCTTTAACATTAAAAAAATCAGTAATCCTGGCAGATCCAATTGCAGCATCTCTCAACACCTTGGCATGTCGTTGTTGTGTTCTTACTGAATAAAAAGAGGTTCTGCTTTTTGTTGAAGTTTCATGCACAATGGTAAAATTTTCAACTTTATTTATATTCACATCCTCCCAGAGATTACTGTCAGAACTTGATTCAGAATCAGATTTAGATTCAACTTCGACTTCAATTTCAGATTCAACTTCAACCTCAATTTCAGATTCAATTTCAACTTCAATTTCAGGTTCAACTTCGACTTCAATTTCAGGTTCAACTTCGACTTCAATTTCAGATTCATAACCCAGATCTTCATCCATTTCAATATCACCTACATATGTTGGATCACTGCTTCTTCTTCTTTTATCTTGGGCTAGTTTTTTGATTTGAATTTGTCTTTTGCTAGGTCTGCCCATTTTAAGGTAAGTTATTTAGATTTTAATAATATTGTAATATAGTAATATAGTAGGAAAATGTTAAATCGGAAATTTAGATTTTTAATAATTAGGAAATTTTGGTTTTTTATATCAGGATAATAACTTGGTATTATTTTTTTAATTATTTGATTTGGGTTTTTTAATAGCATAACTTGGTAAAAACATCTCATTTATATATTCAAAAATTTTATATGATTTGATTACTTTGGATCATGAAACATTGATAAAAATGGATGATAAAAATTGGCTTCACATTTGATTTGACATCTCTAAAAAATGAACAAATGATTATATATGATTTATTATTTCTCTTTTCTCTTTAAACATGGAGCATTGATAAAAATGGATGATAAAAATTGGCTTTACATTTGATTTGACATCTCCAAAAAATGAACAAATGATTATATATGATTTATTATTTCTCTTTTCTCTTTAAACATGAAGCATTGATAAAAATAGGGATAAAATCGGGTTTACATTTGATGTATTATTAAACTCATCTTTAAATAAATGAACAAACAAATGTTCACTGTTTTTGCATTGTATTATTTATAATTAATTATTCCTGAAATATGTATCAATTAATTAATTCTAATTAAGTTGCGCATAACTAGATTTTGGCTGCATTTATAAATAATTTATTAACCAAAAATGGAATTCTAATTTGATTATTGCATTAGATAAATTAAAAAAAAACAAGTATTTTAATTTTTTTGGCATTAAAACCTCAATTTAGTAACAAACATCTTGCTTCAGATGGGTTTCTTTGTATATATGTATGCATAGTATTAATTAAATTATGGTAGATTACCATAAGAGCAAAAAAACTAGTTTTTAAATTCTGAACAATTAATTGGTTCAAATCAATTCAAATTCCAATCTTCTTTATTACTGAATTTTTATATAATTTTTAAAAGGATGTTAATAAATAAATAAACAAATAAATATAGAATACCATTTTGGCACTATGTGTTTCAACCTTTTCATTTGAATGTAATGTGTAAAGTCAGGTGTCTCAACCCTCAAATTCGAATGCAATGTAAAAGCAAAACAAAAACTCTTTTTTTTTTTTGTGATTTATACATTTTTGTAGTAATTTATTAGACTATTTGATCAATGCACCATTTGACAATGAAATAGTCTATTTCATTAACCACTACACATTATTTTTGGTCCATTTTATATATTTGTAGTAATTTATTAGACTACTCAATCAATGGCCATGAAAATAGTCTATTTTATTAAAGAATAGCAAAACCAATATACTTTTTTTTTGATTTTTGATCCACAAGTGGGTAAGCAGATCTATTTATATGTTTTTTGGTAATACTCAATTAACTACCTATTATTATTCAAATACTTCATAGTAGTTAATATCTTGTCTTTAATGCTTATTGAATAATGATAAACATTCATAGTAAATTTGCTTACTGATGAATGTTTATCAATTATTTAATAGTTGTATAGGTGGGTTCGATGGAATTAACAAGATCTATGAAGTTTGCAAATCAACATGCTGATGAATGTTTATCAGTTGTATAGGGTTGATGGAATTAACAAGATTTATGAGGCTTGCAAATCAACATGCTGATGAATGTTTGAATGTTAAGTTTTTTTCTATTCGTTATTATTGTCACGTGATAAATGATCGGCCACAAAATTTCAAAAATTTCAATTCCTCCAATTCGTTCATTTTTAATATAAAAAAATCGTGTGTAACACGACAGTTTTGGGGTTAACATAGTAAACTCGTGCAACTTTGAGGCTCAGTTTCTTTATGGTAACGTGATGTATCAACAAAATGAAATCGTAATTTTGTAGAGAAAGGTCTTAGCTTCAAAACTATGGTTTGTTTTTTTGGTGTTACATTTCCATTTTTGGAGTACTAAAAGATCTACAATACCAATGAAAAGTTGCGGGACTAGGTGTCCTGCACTATATAACATTTGTAAACTTCCCATGATAATCATTTTTCTTGCAATACACATACAATAATGATGTTTCTTTATTCATCCCCACGACACATTTTTACATAATTTGGAACTTTTTATAATCCTATTTTATCATTATCATTATTGCTGCTTTATCAAATGGTTTTACTTACGTCAACGGTTTTTACTTTGGTCAAATCGTCAAAATGGCTCTGGTGAGAAACTACCTTTGGTCAATAATTTAGTTACATCAATGACTAAAGTCATACATCATTAACTGCTGCAAATAGTTGCAATTTTTATTTTTACACATAATTTCATTGTAAATGAACGACCGACTAATTGAATTCATCAATTACAATTCAAAAAATTTAGTTACAAATAATTCAAGAAAATTTTCGCATGAGTAATGTGACTAGTAATACTAATGACAATAATTATATTAATCTTAAATTTATTTGCAGCTGTCCTAGTTATTTGCGGCAGTCGTATCTGTTTGCGGAAACCATAATTATTTACGACGATGGTAGCTACCAGCCCAATTATTTACGGAAAGTGCCTTTACCTAAATCTAAGGTACTCCTATTTATATATAACTTAACAGTCAAACTTATTACTCATTGTCTCACATTTCCCCCACCATCTACAATTTTTATTTCTTCCACATAAAATACCACATCTCCTCCGCCTTCTGATTATGTACATGCTGTATATCTGAGAAAACAGCTTCATGATATTTAAATGGCCCATTATTCTGACCCCAAACATTCATTTAAATTTTCTTTCCCCGTCATTTTTTTAAAAACACACCTATACCACCTATCAACACTTGAATATCTTGTTATATATTTTCTAAATATTTTGAACAAATACAGCTTCATGACTAAAACTGGTTTAGTTTGGTCTAATGTTCAATCCGAAATTGAACTTTAAAGGTTAAACTGAAGCTGAGTCATTCGGTTCGGTTCAGTTCAGTTTTTCGGCTTACATTTGACCCAAAAATCTCAGATATCTTAAATTCGTTAACTATGCAAAAATATACATAATAACTTTACAAAAAAATTATAATAACTTGTAGCTTAGTTTTGGCAAATGTGTGTGCTAAGTAGAGATGCTGGAAGGATTCTGTTTCTAAATACATACAGTCAAACCTAGTTATAATAATAATGGACACTAGTCGCATTATAACGGATTTTAGACATTTAAAATCTGTCATAACAAATTTACTAGTACTAGTCATTTTATATTGATGTGATTTTATGTATAGATAAAAATGTTTTTAAATAGGTTATGGCGAGGTACGATTGTAGACTATAATTTTTATACCATGGCAGTGAAGGCCCATTTCTCACCAAAATTAGAATGGAGACCATGATTGAGTTTGATTCATTCCATACATAATACCATGTTTAGATACAGTTGGTCAGTAATAAGTTTCATAGATATAACACAAACATTTTATTCATCGCCTCTACCAACATGCAAACTCTTTTCTAAACTACAACGCCTTTGAGTAATTAAGTCTGTGTCTCCAGAAAAAAAAAATCGATCAACCGGGACACTGGTTGCTATAGTGAGTTTATTAGATTAGAATTAATAAATTTAATTCTAAATAAGCCGAGTGCAAAAATTAGAATATCAGGGACTGTCAAGTAACGAAACTTTTGACTTTAGTCATTGGTGATAACGAAGTTGATCTTTAAATAATGCAATTTTCGCTTTTCAATCAATTAATCCTGTCAGAGAAAAATTTAAAGGCAATCAAAAATGTTGTAAGAAAAAATTGTCATTCAGTTCTCCGCAAAGAAAAACAAGTTTTTAAACGAAAATGTAACAGTGAGTTTCGTGAAATATTGATTAGCGATAATATATTGGCATCATAATATTATAAAATCACACGACTCAATCTCACACATATATATTCATTCGGAGCATCAAAATTAGCACTGGATGCAAAGTATCTTAGCATCCTATCATGTATTTATGATCAATTATGTAATCTTTAATAATAGCAGACTATTTCATGGCCAGATGGTGTATTGATCGAATAGTCTAATAAATTACCACAAAAACACATATAAATAGACCCGTTACTTCCTAAAAATGCAAAGCGGTGCATTGGTTTTGCCTTTTTACGTTGTATTCGAATTCGAGGGTCGGATACGTAGTTCTGAATGGCGTTATATATGTAATTCGGCTTTACACGTTACATTCAAATCCGAAGTATCTATTATATTCGTTCGGAGCATCAGCATTAGCCAGTAATATCTTTATTCGTTGCGTTGAGCAAATTTAATAAAAGATCATTTGCAAAGAAAAACCCTCATGTGGAATCAAAAGCTATTTATGAATTTCGATTGCTAAAAAAATCAGCTAAACTTTTTTTCTTAATTTAAAAAAAAAAAACATTTTGTCCTAATCTTTTCCTCGTGTTTATTTATTCGTCCCATATTAAAAGTCAATTGGTTTTTTTCAAGTTTATTGATATAGAAGAATTGACTTCATGCAAACATCAAAAGTTATTTACAAATTTTGCTTGTTTAAAAAAAAAAAAATCAATTAAGCTTTTTTTTTCTTAATATTAATTAAAAAAAAAATTTTTTTGCAACGGATTTTATTTTTCTCCGAAATGGAAAGGAAATTAAAATAAAATTTTTTCCTATCCACTATTTTTCAAAAATGGTCAAAATCAAAAAAAATTTGTACACATTGTTTGTTTATCGATTATTGAATTTACCAGTAATGATAACAACAAATAAAATGTAAAAAAGTGTTTTTGAATCCCAGTCTTGTGACCCGAAAACAGTTTTGTGACAAGTCTTTGACGATCTGGGATCTGAGGTAAAGGCTCCAAGGCAAGGCCATAAGTTCTTGGTCATTTCAAACGATCCAAAACATCAGAGCAAGACGAATACCTAATGGTAGATAGCGGTAGACACCACTCAAAAAACA